TTATCCTGGTACCCATTTACTGCAAACAAACAAACAAAAAAAATCCTCAATACTTTTGGAAATTACTTTTATCTTTTCCATACAAAAAAGTGAAGACAGATATGGTAAAGCAATGTGTGGGTATGAAATTTATGAAACTGTTGGACTGGAGAGAACACCACAGGTGTTAAGGGATAGCACTTTACAAGTTTCAAATATAAAATTGTGTCAGTAGTTCGTGTCTGAAGGAAAAGCTGACACTCCCAGTTCTTAGATCTTCTCATTTTCTCGTTTGCAGTGAATTTAAAATCTCTCATTTTAAGATAGAAAACAAAATAAAGCTGGAGTACTATTCTTAATACTCATTTGTAAGAATTAGCCATACAAAACCTGGTATTAGTATATGAATTTTTTCTGCTCTACATTTACATTCACATTGATAGAAGTTAGAAGTTGGGAAATTTCCTAATTTTGTTTTTGTAGACTTTAGCTTACTAACTTATCTTGGTCATCTGATAGTCAAGTTCAAGTCTTCAAAAGCTACTGATGTGAACAAGGAAGTCCCTGTTCTCTGTGTGAAGAGATAGCTCTGTTTGTTTTAACAAGGCTAAGTTTAAGTTTTCTTTTTCCTTTCAAATGATATAAGCCACAGAATGACGGAGAAGTTCAGGTTTCCTATGCAAGTACTGTTACTGGATAGACACAGAAAAGAAGCATTTAGTCAAACTGAAAATAAACAAGCTAACCCTTACTCTTCTCACAGGAAAGAGAAACTGCTTCTTTGCATATACACATGCAGTGACAGCAATGAGTCCTACAAGTCAAAGTCCAAACAGTACTCATTTAATATTGTTGTAGCTAAGCATTCGAGAGTCTTATTCTACTGCTGCTTGAACTCAAAGAAGCAGCTAACATTAAGACTGCTGTGAAACGGGCCAGTAACATACCATGGCTTGAAAGAAAGTTTTAGTGTAAAACATAGGATGTACAGAGAATATCATATTAATTGCTTCTACAGCTGCTCACAAGATGTCAGAGACTAGATCTGCAAAAGCCGTTTATACAAGAGATCCGAAGTCAGTAACAAATGACTGAATAAAAACATCATGATTTATGAAAGCTGCCATTATAATTTATCAGTAAGAGATTCCTGTTTCTCATTATCTAAATTTTATTTTTGTTTGAGAAAACTACTCAACAATAAAAAGGACATAAAAAGTTGCTTTGATAAAAATATGTGAAAGCCCAGTTAACCAGTCAAGTGTAGTATTCTCAAGCCAGATCTGTTTACTGAAAGGTGAAACATGAAAGACGCTATTCTTAGAGAATAAAAAGCTTCTTACTAGGGCCTAACTCATTAATTGAGGTCTTGCCAAGGCAAGGCTTGTCTGTTTGCCAAATGACAGTCTTCATCAAGCTGGATTATTTCTCGTTAACTCCGTTTTCCTGAAGTAGTAGTTACCTGCACTGCATTACCCCAAAAGATGGTATTTCCTTGTAAGTAGTAGTGCAGACTTTCTCAGGAGGGACCTCAGAGAGTTTCAGAAAGATACTGACAAAATCTTACAGAAACAGAACAATCAAAAAAAGAGAACTCAGAATTGGATAAATTCATTCAGGTTTCTTGTTCCCTCAACTGAGGCATTTACATACCATTTCCCTAGCATAATAGGTTCAAGGTTAAATTGCAGCACATTCAACTAAAATAGTGACAGTTCTAGTAGCGAGTTCCTAGTCAGCTAGCATTTGAGATGTTCTTAAAAGAATTTAAGCTTATCTTTATTATTTTTAAAAGTATGAATGCTTAAATAAGCGAAGACAGTGTTATGAATTCATTAGAACGGCTGACAACCTCAAGTGAAAACTGGAGGCTAAAGTACTCAAGATTACATAACCACACTTTGTGTACAATTTAGTGATAAATCACATGACAAACCGCAAGAGCAAGTCAGCATTTATCAGACCAAAACTTCCAAACCCATTAGATCTAGTGCTTCAGCTGCTTTGTTTAATAAATGCGGTATACTATTAATGTACATTATTACTTCCTTATGCCTCTTTGAGAGTGGGGGAAAAAGAGGGAAGCGAGGCAGTGAGATTTTAAGTACTTATGTGATCCAATAACATGGTCTCTGTAATCAGACAGCCTTAAACCTACATATTCATGAGGTTTTCAGATCATATATTGCTTCAGTGAAAGCAAACTGACCCCTCAGTGAAGTCAGCTAAATAAATTTCTGTAACACTTCATGCACTAAAGTTAACAGAATAAGACCCCAAAGAAAAGCAGTTTGCTTCCATGCACAATGAAGTATCTTTATCTTGTCACTAGAATGATACATCTAAACCAAATTAAGTCAATAAACAGTCATATTAACAAAATAACTTGCATACCTCACAGGTGTTGAGGATTCTGTGCTTGAGTAGACATCTCCTATCCTCCTCCTTGTAACAATCTGAACAACTCATTTGATTACAGGCAGAAGTGGCCATGAAATTCTGATCACCAAGAACAGCACAGGCAGGCCATTTTGAAAGAAGACTCTAGAAACCATTGTTCTGAGCTATTGCACTTCAAAACTCACTTCCAAATGTTTACTTTGCTATCATGTAACATATTTCTAATCACTTTCTCAGAAAGAAGGCTGCATTTTTGAGAAAACGAGCAGAAGATCTGATCTCGCGTAGTAAAGTGGCACTCCGCTACTACTTACAAATCAACCCCTGATGTCAGGCCCCTCACTTTGCTGTGCAGCCTGTGAAACATAACAGACTGATATCAAGGTCACTGATGAGCAAGAAGGGAAGCTATAGTAAATTCAGTATTTTCCCAAGAACCAAGAGACTTGCATTCTATTCCTCATTTTGCCTCTAGCTTTCCAATTTCAGAAAGATACTGAAAAAATACAAAACAGTAACCCTAGTGACACTTGCTTTTACTTCCCTGAGACAACATAAACTTCCTTGGAGACGACAGGGAAAAGAGAGAGGAAAAAAATAAAAATAAAGTCAGGCATGGTTTTATTACCAAATATTGCATACACTGATAGTGATGGGTGCTGCAATACAAATATCAGAGGAAAGTTTAGCATTGTTATGCAAGAGAGTTAGATTTTTACAGAAAATTCATTCATACCACCTGGTAACTATCACTTAATTTCTACCTCATGTTATGTTTTAGTATTTTAATTTGAGAGCACAAAAGGGAGAGTACTATTACAGTATCAAATATAGGACGATACCTTTAAGAAAGACCAAATAGATTAGAAACTATCAATTCAGAAAACACACCATGAGTTACATGTCCAAAATATTCAGATGTGCCCTAGAAGATAAAGGAAACTTTGCTTTCTTCCATTATCTTGTAATTATAGCTGGTATCAAGTTACACCCTGGTATGTGGTTAACAGGTATCTGGGTTAAGGATTATACTTAGTGAATTTCCTTTACACATATTAAAGAAAATTACTTTTTCTTCCCCCCTCAAATTTCTCAGTACTTTTTTTTTTTTTTTAAATTATACTGTCCTCACACAAAATAGCCCAGTTACAGTCCTTGGTTAGTACAACCATCTGTAACTAACAGAGTACAGAACTACTCCCCCTTCCCACCCCCAAGATCAAATCCCACATAAGATTCCTTCACCCTTCCTAGAAGCATATTAAGAATTAGAAACAAAACACCTCAGGTCAAGTATAACACAGAAGTCTTAGAAGAGATACAAGATCAAATTTTTCTTTCATTAAAGAAAGTGGAACATATTTATATAACACAAATTGCTCAGGACCTTCTCCAGTTGAATTCTGCTTTTAATATTATGTCAACCTTGCCTTAGGGTACTCCTGAGGTCCCTTCCAACCTAAATTAGTTAATGATCATTACAGAACCTACTCCCAACCCAAGCAATTAACTACAGGAGTCAACTTTGGGAACAAATCATTGGGAACTCCAGTAGAAGACACACAGCTTAAGATAATGAAGACTCAAAAACATGTGTAGAAAAGAAACCCTAGAACTGTACGCTGTGCACAGAAAGTAAGCTAGAAACCAAGGAAGATTGGTTTGCAGCTTCACAGAAGCAGTACTGAAGTCACTGGAGAAGGGAAGGAAGAATGGTTGATGCTCACAAGTTCTTCAACTCATATCGAAAGAAAGTTATACTTAAAATAAGACCACAGTTTTTGTTTCACTTGTGCTGCAGCAAACCCCTTGTCAAGTGGCTAGATGTATCATCAGACATGAAACAGTTGATCCGGGAACACAGTGTAGAGCAACTACTTTATTTGTTTAGTGTATTTTATGTCCTTTAATAGTATTCACACTACAATCAATTTTACTGCTGACCTTCTCCATGCTGTCAGCGTCTTCCAAGCACATTAAGCTTTTACTTCACAGAAAATACTTTTTCTGCTGTTCTAAAGCTACAAAACCCAACAGGAAGTGCTAATCTCAAAACCTTCTGCAGACTTACAAAAAAAGTTGCAGATGTTCTTCAAAAGCACATTTAAGCTTTGTATTCTTATGTTTCTGTATAAAAGCCGATTGCTTCATACTCTTTATACAGGAAAACGCATATGAAACAAACTATTGTTTCATCTCTTCATACCAAACAACAGCCTTCTATTTAAGACACCATTTAGTAAGATGTAATTAGTCTTAAGAGATCTTCTCCACCTTATAAACAAATCTTACAAAGCTCAGATGTCCTTCCCCTAGCTCAACCACCATTTAAGCCATTTAACTGCTCCTGTAGCTGTTTTTGTGTTGTTGGTTTTTTGGGTTTTTTTTGGTTTTGTGTTTTTTGTTTGTTTGTGGGGTTTTTTGTGGGTTTTTTTTTTAAATAGCAATCTTGTTAAACTAGTTTCAGCTAACGTATGAATATATTCAGGCTAACTGTATACTCATGTCCTGAGCAAGTAGCTAAATGGGGCAAAAATATTCTATATAGTATTAAAGTGTGTTGGGAAGAATCTCAGGTGATCGCTTTGAACACGCAAAACACAAGAGATCACAACACTTACTTTTCATAGACCAGCTCCTCATCGGTACAGAAGTAGTGGGTATTTACGGTACTTTTCGGTTTGTTTCGTAAAGTCGCGAAGTACAACCGATCTGAAAGACAGATGAGGGCAGCCGTGTCGGACGGAGGGGGCGGGCGCCCCCTCTTCCCCGTCCCGCCGGCCCCCCTGCCGGTGGGCGCCACCGCCCCGTCCCGCCGCGGAGGAGGCGCGGCCGGTCCTTTTTCTCCTGCGTGAGCGGCCAGCACCGCTCCGCCCGCGGGCCCGGCCCACGGGGAACCCCCGGGGAACCCTGGGGAGCGCGGGGGAGATTGCTGACCCCGGACGCGGGCGCACGGAGCAACAGGTGCCGGCGCCGCTTCTCGCCGGAAAAGAGAGGAGGAAGGAACCGCTGAGGCGTGCCCCGCGGCAGCCCAGGGGCGAACACCGCAAGGCAAGGGGGGCCGAGGCCGAGCCGGGCACGCAGCGAAGCCCACGGAGCCGGGGAGAGAGGCGGGGAGGACGGGAAAGAAGCCAGCGGGTTTCCTTTTCGAGGGAGGCTCCGGCGAGCGGGACCCCCGCGGCCAGGGGACGGACGGGGAGGGCTCCCCGGCCCCTTCTCACCTTTCACGAACTCCGAGGCTCCCCCCAGCACTTCGGAGGCGGCTGCCGCCGGCTCCATCTTAAACAGGGCGCGGAGCAGCGAGGCGCGGGGCGGCTCCGAACTCATGGCGCGGCCGGGGCGCGCTCGCTGGGAAGCCACCCGTTGCCCGGAGGGGCCGCCCGTCGGGGGCCACGCTGCCGGCAGCCGGGGGGGCCGCGGCCCCCCTCGGGAAGG